CAGGTTGACACCTCTTTACTTACCCAGAGTTCACAAATATGTCCTTTACTTGAAAGAAAAACAAAAACAAAAAGCGCCATGGGACAAATATCCTTAAGTTTCTCTCCCTTACATATCAGATCGTATCTAATTTTCTGTTTACCCCTCCTTTCATTATAGCAGATACTAGCATCAGATTTTTCTTGCCCCATCAATCATCTCCTTCCTTCTTAATATTTAATTCCTCTTTATTCTTTTGGTTATGTCCTTTTCAGTATTCTATGCACACATGTCCCCATACTTTAAAAAAAGGTGAAGTCATCTCTTAACCCAGTGGCATTGCTTACCTGAGGAACAATGATGTTGTTACCCTTAGTCACTCCTCTCCGCTCTTCCTGTCGTTGCTGGTCCCTTTCCCAGGTGACAGCTCTCCTTGCTCTGAAATAGTTCTGAGCCTTAAGGTTGAGTCCTCAGTCATCCTTCTCTCTGCATGCACTTGCTTTCTGTGACTGCATGCATCCCTTTGACTTTAACCATTAGTCAACAATAACTGACCAAAACTATATTTTAACAGCCTTAATATCTCTCCCATGATCTAGACCCATGTGTTCAATTGCTTTCTGAATATCTTAAGACATCTCAGAAGCAACACGTTTAAAATTAAACTCATCATCTTTGACTGCAATTCTTTCTTCAAGTTCCCCATGTATGAACGAGTTCTTTTCCAAGAGCATGTTTGTAAGTCCAACAAAGTTAGCCTAGGTCCCCAACTAACACAATCGGCTATATAGTACTATACTGTAATAGGTTCATAATACTTTTCACGCATAATGCATAGAAAACAAATACACACACAAGAGAACACATTTTAAATCGTACAGTGCGGTGCCTTGAAAAGTACACTAGTGAAGCACAGCAGCTGGCATGGAGTGATCAGGCAAGAAGAGTTATTGAGTGGAGGAGGGAGGGGGGGTGGGAGATGGTTGACCTGAAGGGTCATCAGCAACAGGAAAGAGAGGGCAAGCTGCAATTTCATTCACATCTGATGTGGAAGGAATGCACGTGTGCATCTTTGAGAGTTTGCAACTTGGAGGTTCACATAGCGGGGACTTACTCTTCTACAGATAGCTTAATAGTCCAAACTATACTGGGTCCCATGTGAAATTTCTGTCTTCCTTTATCTCAACTCTGATATCACATCTAATTCCATCACCAAGTCTAGGTAATTCTATTTAGTAATTGATTTGAACCCAGATTCCAGTTGGTTTGGATCCAATTTTCTTCTCTAGCTATCTGCTTCTATGTTGGCATGGATTCTTTTTGTTATTTTATTTTTCTAGACTATTAGAATTGCCTCCAAAAAGGTTGATTTCCTTACCAAGTTGTCACATTCTGGTATATTTCCCTCTTTGACTTACAATAAACTTTCTAAAGGGGCTTCCCTTGTGGCTCAGTAGTAAAGAACCCACCTACCAATGCAGGAGATGCAGGTTTGATCCTTGGGTTGGGAAAATGCCCTAAAGAAGGAAATGGCAACTCACTCCACTATTCTCGCCTGGGAAATCCCATGGACAGAGGGGCCTGGTGGGCTACAGTCCATAAGGTTGCAAAAGAGTGGGACAGGACTTAGCCACTAAACAACAGCAAACTTTCTAAAATTCAAATGTAACCATGTTATTCTTCTGCTAAAGGTATACTTAATGTGGTTTCTTTCTGCTTTAAGAATTGTTTAGTCTCTGGCTGTTTTAAACTTTTGTGTGGTATGTAAAAACCTCAGTCTATTTTTATGATGATCTCCAAACCAAAAAGTTTCCAAACAGGCACAGAAAAGGAACTATTGCACCTAACCATAAGCCTAAGTAAAGGCTATATTTATCAGCTGGAAATTCTTGGTTTTTACTTTGCTGGTACTGTAGGTGATTCCTTCTGAGCTCTGTGCCTTGCTAATAATTATCAAACCTGAAATTTGTCCTCAAATGCAGCAAAGATAGAATGGAAATGAATAGAATCATAAGAGGTTGTCAAATAGTCTTTGTTTCATAGGTCTGACTCCATTCTCTCTAAAATTGAGTTCATTTTTCAGTTTTGAATGGGCATGCTTAAAATGGGACTATGTTAGTGGGTCTTTGTGGGCATCTTAGTTTAGTCCTCTCTACTCACCCTCAAATTACACAAGTGCACACAACCCACACATAGAGTTGGCACTTGTTAATTATTTATCATTGGTGTCCCGGTTTATTATTTTCCTAGGATTCATCCATATTGCCTTATTTGGATCTCCTTTATAATTTTTAAAGTGACTGATCAGGATTAGGGATTGAGTCTTTGATCAAAGTGTGTAGTCAAGTTAACAAAATCCATGTATCTGAGTCCCACATACATGTCGCTCTTCCACAGATATTAATGCTAATGTATTCCACTAATGCTAATACATTTGTCATAGGTTCTTGAAAGAATGTGGTACAATAAGTATGTGCCTTTCCTTATTAAAAAGATATCTAAATTTAAATAATCCAACAAGAAAAGATTATCTTAATTTAAAATATAATTTTCTACCCCTATATTACCCTTCCTCCTTTCCCTCTCACACTGGAAACTACCTACTTGTTTTCTGTATCTGTGAGTTTGCTTTTTTTTTTTTTTTGTAATATTCACTAGTTGGTTGTATTTTTTAGACTTCAGTTCAGTTTAGTTCAGTCACTCAGTCATGTCTGACTCTTTGCGACTGTGAACCGCAGCACGCCAGGCCTCCCTGTCCATCACCAACTCCCAGAGTTTACTCAAACTCATGTCCATCGAGTCGGGGATGCCATCCAGCCATCTCATCTTCTGTTGTCCCCTTCTCCTCCTGCCCTCAGTCTTTCCCAGCATCCGGGTCTTTTCCAATGAGTCAGCTCTTCACATGAGGTAAGGATTGGAGTTTCAGCTTCAGCATCAATCCTTCCAATGAACACCCAGGACTGATCTCCTTTAGGATGGACTGGTTGGATCTCCCTGCAGTCCAAGGGACTCTCAAGAGTCTTTTCCAGCACCACAGTTTTTAGACTTAACATTTAAGTAATATCATACAGTATTTGTTTCCTTCTCTCTGACATTTCTCTTTGCATAGTACCCTCCAAGTTCATCCATGTTGTTTCAAATGGCAAAATTATATATATATGTATGCATGTATGTATATCCACAGAGGCTACACCAATTTACATTCCTACAAACAGTGTATGAGGGTTCCCTTTTCTCCACATCCTCTCTAACATTTGTTTATGTTCTTTATGATGATAGCCATTGTGACTGGTATGAGGTGATAGGTCATTGTGGTTTTGATTTGCAATATCCTTACTGACCAATGATGCTTGGCATAGTTTCATGTGCCTATTGGCACATCTGCATCTCCTCTTTGGAGAAAGTGTTTATTCAGATCTCTGTCCATTTTTTAATTGGGTTGTTTATTTTTGATGTTAAGTTGTACGAGCTGTTTATATATTTTGGCTATTAACCCCTTATCAGTCATATCATTTGCAAATGTTTTCTCCCATTCAGTAGGCTGTGTTTTCATCCTGTTGATGGTTTCCTCTAAGTTCAATTAGGTTCCAATTATTTTTGCTTTTGTTTCTAAAATAGAAGCAGGGAATTAAGAGATACAAGCTATTGTGTATAAAATAAGCTACAAGGATATATAGTACCTCACAGGGAATATAATAGCCAATATTTTATAGTAACTATGGATGCAGTATAACCTTAAACATTGTGAATCACTGTGTTGTATGCCTGTAATTTATGTAATATTTTACACCAACTATAACTCAATAAAAAATAAAAAATATAATTATCAAATTAATGAATTTGGTCTTATTGATAGTACTATTGCCTTTTACCCCAGCAAGTATTCCTAATTATATCCTTAGAAGCCAATGTGTATTTATCTGCAACCTTATTGTAATATGTTCTAAAGATTCAAGATGCTCTCTGGATTTAATTTTTGCCAGATGACATTTAAACACTAGAGCTGAATTATAAATGAAGTCACTTTGTTAAAAACAACAAAGAGTGAGTTTGTGAACTTGTGAAGTTGGAAACCAAATCAGTATCCCAAACCAAACTCTATTGCTGCTATCTCATTAAATAGCATTGGGTAGATGTTTAAAGATTTTTATACATTTTAATTCAGGTAGTAACTTGAATTAAAACAACATTGATTTTTTTTCTATATTATTCTTGGTCATGTATAACATACTAAAATACAAAATGAATTTAATACTATTTGAGTCTGTCTGTGTAACACGGTGTTAAATTTTTGGAGGCTTTCTTTCCCCATGCTAATTTTCATCACTTTGCTGTTCCTTTTGTTTGCCTTGGAACTTTATCTTTTTAGAATTATTATTCATTCTTTTCACCATATATCCCAATCATTAAACATTTAAACTTTGATCAGGCAGAGAAGCAAGAGACTATGCATAATGATGAAGTTGGAACTTCCTTGAACAACCTGTTAGCTCGTCTTGGAAGAAGAGAGTTGTGCCAAATGATCTTTATGTGCTCATGAATAGTGTTATAACAAAAGTTGGTAGAGAGATAAGCATAAAGGGCAGTTCTAATGGAAGGAATGATAGTAAGATATACCTTGGCTGAACATGCTAATGCTTTGTCAAGATGCTATCTGCTCTTGCTGCTAAATTAGGTACATATTAAGTTAGCGGCTCCTATAGCTATGTGCTATTTTACAAAATGAATTAGAAGAGAAAGAATATACCTCTCAGGATTTGAAGTATCTCATATGACAGTAAAATGATTACATGGAGAATACCCATTTAACCCAGAGTTTATGATACATTTAACTGTGTGGATAGATTCTGCAAATAAAAGTGGGAGAGGCAGGAAGAAAGTTCATATGAAGGTAGCTGTAGGCTCTACCTACTTTGAGATTTTAGCTTTATACTGAACTCTTTATATATAGTATAGAGTATAAAGCTATACTTTATACTCAAGTAACTGAGACTTTTGCTGTTGCTGTTTCCTAAATGCAGAATTTCAGAGTGGGAATATCAGGACTTTAGCTGAAAATACGCCTGTATTAAACCAGGAATCTTTGGCCGTGGCATTTGGGCACAAACATTGGGAAGATTTAGGAACTGTGAAGATTTATCATGGAAATCAAAGAGGAAGGAGCATCAGAAGAAGGCCAGAACTTTCTGCCTACACCCCAGGCAAATGACACCGGGGACTTTCAGTTCACAAGTGAGTATAAATGCACCCCCAAATTACATAACTTTGTTCCTTTGCACTATTATTTCAGTGTTCTATGTCTATGATATGTCTCCCCTCTTTTATCCTGGGTGAGGTAGATGATAGTTTATGAAATGGTTCAATATCAAATAGAACCATTGTTCTTGTATGTGTAGTAAGATAGTATGTAGTTTCTTTTTTTGTTAAGGATGTTGATCTTTATTTGAAGATCAATTGGAAAACTAAGGCAGTACTTGAATTTTGAAAAAGTCACTCTGGATGTTGATGGAGACCCGATTGTGGATGCACAGAGTGGATCTGAGACACCATTTAGGAGGCTGTGGTTGCACACTTTCTATTGATCATATTTCTACTCTCATGTGGAATTGTTTTTTTGAATCCTAGAAGTTTTCTCTTTAAAACCAAAGACATTTCAGTTGAAAACATTAGGGCACAATGATTACACTAGCTGCTTCGCAGTTGCTGCCATACCTAAGTCACATCAACAGAGCAAGAAAGCTTGGCAATTTGGCCAGGATTAGCATTTGAACATGAATGTTGGTTTTTGTGCTACTCAAGTAATTAAAATCATTGAAAGAAGTATATGTTTTTTCTCATGCTTAACATTCTAGAGTTAGGGTTAGATTGTTTAGCATAAATTGTGTTTTATTTTATTCAAAAGATTCTTGTCCAGTTATTTAGCCCTGGCAAACATATGCCTAACCTCTCATTTCCTTTACGTTATAAAAATAATCTTGAGAAAATGATACTGGTTGGATGAGTTTATTTGAGTAATTTGATTGTCAGAGCTTACAGCAGAATTGTTAATAACCTTTAAAAAAATTACAGTATTTGAAATTAATAAAGACCTACATAATAATTGTCAGTCTAACCCTTCTTAGAAAGTCTAAAATTGTTAAATGTCAGTAGGAAATAAAAGTAAACATAAATGCAAAAAATATGAACTCTGTACATAAAAAACATGGTTTTTATACAAAGAGATGGTTCTAACACTTGTTGACTGAAAAAATAATGCACAACAAGAGTTATGAGTTATGTTTTATTAGGGCAAAATGAAAACCATAGCCTGGGAGACAGCATTTCAGACAGCTCTTAGAAACTGCTCCAAATAAGTAGGGGAAAGGTCAGTGTACATGTGATTTTGGTGAAAGAGGAGTCCATGCAATCAAGCACATATTTCTGCAGAAGGTTTCTGCTTTTCTCATGAAGGTCACTGCTAGTTATGAGGAGCAGATGTCACCATGAGGGATTTTAGTGCTTTTCTATATATGAGGAGATGCAAGAATTGGGCTTGTAAAATTGTCTCCAGAAAATATCTATCTGAAAACCTGTTCTGCCTTTTTCCCCCCCAAGTCACAGATGCCTCATTTATGATCTCCACCCTAAATTCCTTTCAGGGGATACTGAAGGTCAGCAGCTGCAGCAGCTCATGATTTAATCCTTGCAGAGGTAGACAGCAAGTGCCAATCTGTAGTGGGCACAGTATATTCATGACTAAATGCTAATAAATTCAAGTTTTATCTGATGAGTGCACCAGTAAAGATAAACAAGGAGAAGATTTTTATATAATGCTCTTTCATTTCTTGGTCACCCATGAGTGGTGATAAATGACATCCCAATCCTCAGTTGCTCTGTTTTTGTTGTTGTTGTACTTACTTTTTGTAGTCTTGTTTATTTGTTTTCATATTTTTTATGATCTCTATCTCTTTTTCTCTTTTTTTATTGAAGTATAGTTGACTTACAATATTATATTAGGTGAAGGTATACAGTATAGTGATTCATTATTTTTATAGATTATATTTCATTTGATGATACTGAAAAAAAAATGGCTATATCCCATCAGCCCTTGTTTAGGAAGCTCTGATACAGACTGTAGTCTTAACAAATCCATCTACCGTTTTATTACTTGCCACAGCCTTACCTTTCTATCTTCTAACCATTAGATGTTCCGTTTTCCTTACCTTTGTTTTCGAACTTAACTTTCACTCCCACTTCATCTTAAATCATTTACCCATGTTAATAGATTTATTTTTAACTGCCAAAAAAAGGAAAGAACATTTAATAGAATATTGATTTGAGCTATCAATAAATTGGCAGAATAACCACCATCATCATGTCCTGAGTAACCTAACCAGAAATAGCTCTTTAATTATTTACCATTAACACAAGGTTGAAGTGGTGGGAAAGAGAAATCTGTGTCAGAGAAGACTTGGATGAGGTCATCCTTTGCAAAGTTTCCATCTCTGTCGACATATATACAAAAGAAACAAACAGTTGGAAAATATGTTTTGCATTTTTCATGCCTTACAGAAACAATATTTCTGTTTTATGACCATGGAACTAAATAGAGCAATCAAATCTTTAGCCATATCTAGTTTTGCTATAAATACTACATCTTGCCCTGAGAATTGACTTGTTATATATGTCTGGATGATTAACTGAGTTTATTTGTTCTGCCAAATAGTGTATTTGTACATTGTGGGCAGGGAGAAAGTTATTTATGTTCACATAATTTTGATGAGTTAAATATCTTCAATCTGAATTTGTGCCTGTTATTCATAGGTATTCAGAAGACTCCAAATGAACCACAGTTGGAATTCATCCTTGGTAAGAAATTCTTATTTATTTATAGCTATAAATGTAATAAGTCTTTTGTACATATAGTTTACAACTTTAGGTATGTTACTGATATCATTGTTATTTATAATATATTTTCTAACATTTCATGAATATTGTTCTGTTAAAAAAATTATTCTATAAGGTAAATGTTATTTTCCCCAGTTTCTAAGTGAAGAATCTGAGCTATGGAGAAGGTCCGTTTATGACCCAAGGATTGAGGACTTCAGTGGTGATGGGTTTATGTCTGTCAATCAAATCTGCTGACCAAAAGTCCTTTGCCCAACACTTATTCTAATACAGTGACTGAAGTTTGTTGCAAATCATTTCTCAAAATCCACGTGTCTAATTACTCACTCCTGGGGCTGTTGACTGGGCTCATGTGGAGTTTTCCTTTGTCCTTCTTTATGCCGTTGACAGGGTCTGTGCTCCCCTTTTGGTCTCACTCAAAAATATTCCCTTGCTCTTCCATCTTGATATTGTGGCAAGATCTATGACTTTGAGAATTTAATTTTAATTCAAAGCTTTAACTTGCTTAAGCAACTCTAAGAATCTGTCACATCTGGAAATTTGTAAATTTGTCAAAGGATGAATTAAAAATGTGCACCCCTACAACACTGTAAATCAACTACACTTCAATAAAAACAATATTTGCTTATGTAGCAGTGGTTTAAAAAAAAAAAAAGCATACCCTGAAGCTGGCCCACTACTTAGCTAGTGAGTAGGAACTTGAATTGGGTATGACTGCAAAGTGCTATTAGGGAATTAGTTGCAAAATGGCATTTAAAGGGGGTAAAAATATGGTTCCTATGAACTATTTAGAGAGCCTTTTCTTCTTTCATTGTTCTGAAGTACTTTGAAAGGTCCCTAATATTTTTACATTTATTTGTATGAAATTTCACAAGATATATTTTAATATCCAAATCATTGATACATACATATTTTATGAAGTTATGGGCAAGCTGAAACACATATCTCCACTGTCTGTAGTAGTTTGTAGTGATTTGAAGTTCCAGTTATTTTAGGAATATATATTTTATTATAATGAAATGTTTCAAATTTATACCCTTCACTCAAAATATTACATTTTGAAGCATAGCTTATTGAGAAAACAATCATAATTTTTTTGTTTTTTTTTTGGTTTTGTTTTTCTTTCTCTTTCTAATAGATTTTATTTTTTGAACAGTTAGCAGTTCGCATCAAATTTGAACAGAAGATATAGAGGTTTCCTAGGTACTGCCCTGCTCCTATACATGTATAGCGTCCCCCATTATCAACATCCCCCTGCCAGAATGGTACATTTGTTACAGTTGATGAACTTCCAGTGATGGATTATTGTCATCCTAAGTCAATAATTTGGGACTTCCTGGGTGACTCAGTGGTAAAGAACCCGCCTGCCAATACAAGAGACACAGGAGACCCGGCTTAAGTCCCTGGGTCAGGCAGATTCCCTGGAGAAGGAAATGGTAACCCACCCTAGTAGTCTTGCCTGGAGAATCCCATGGACTCAGGAGCCTCGTGGGATACAGTCCATGGGATCACAAAGAGTCATTCACGACTGAGCGACTGAGGAACAAGTCCATAATTTACATTAGAGTTCATCCTTGCAGTTATATGTTATCTATGGGTTTGGACAATGTATAGACATGTGTTCATCATTATAGAATCATACTTAGTATCTTCACTGCCCTAAAAGTTCTCTGAGCTCTGCCTATTCAGCCCTGTCTTTCTGGTAATGCCTGGCAACCACTGATAAAGATATACTTTATTTATTTATTTATTTGTCTAGAAAATTCTCAGATGTTGTCAAATAAAGAAAAAAAATCCATTTTTCAGAAAGGAAATCAAGTCTCAAAAAAGACCTTGGCACCTCTTGACTCACTAACCATAACTCTTGCTACTTGAGACTTGACTTACTCATCTTTTATTTTTAAGGTAATATATTTATTGTTTTTTTTAACCTTTCAGCAAGACTTCTGAAAAATGAAGATTTGTTAGACTCATTAGGAGTATTTCAAAGTACAAAGAAAGCTTTCTTACTTGAAGCCTGGAGAATAGGGGAAATCTGAGTTAGGCAGAAGTAATTGGAGTAGAGGCTGTTAGTCAAGCATGGAGACAGAATGCATGGACCAAATACCCATCCTCTATTTCAATTAAAGTTACCTGTCTTTTTCAAAGACCTAACTATACTAATTGTTTTGAAAGTGCAGTCAAGTTTGGGAACAACGCTGTCATCCCTTACATTTCTGGCTTGAATCATAGATTTAAGAGATCAGCAGCTCTGAGAATTTATTCATAATAATATTTCTCCAATTTAAAAAACCAAACTTTAATTTTCTTTTTTCATATCTATTCAAAAAACACACTAGAATTCTTAATAACAGGTAGTTTTATTTTGTCATATGGCAGGAAATCCGTGATGCACAAACAAAAGAAAGTCATCTAGAATCTTCAGGGAACTGTGTTGTTGATCCTGGAATATATATTTCCTAAACTGTTTGCTATGCTTCTTAGCACTTTAAAAGATCCTTAACTATACCATTTCTTGAAGAATATTTTTTTAAACTATTCTTTCAAAGACATATAGCCAAACCCATGTAGGTTTTAGTGTATATTTTTATCACCATTTTTTCTTTGTTTTTTTTTTAATCTTACAAATTATTCAAGACTTCTACATATAGTTAGCTTCATTTCATAATTAATAAGTGAGAGCAATATTTTCTTAAATATTTTTTCATTGTTTAAGAATGTGCATATTTAATTAACAAGAAAGAAAGCAAAGCATCTTACTACAAAAAAATCTAGAAAGAAAATGGAATAAAGGATGTAAGAGACCTTTTTCCAACTAATTTTCCAACTAAAATTTTTTTGGGGGTAGATTTCCTTTTATTGAAGTATAGTTAATTTACAACGTCATGTTAATTTCCACTATACAGAAAAGTGATTCAGTTATACATACATATATGTGTATATATATACATTTTAATATATTCTTTTCCATTATAACTTATCTCAGGATAATGAATATATCTCCCTGTGCTATACAGTAGGAATGTGTTGTTTATCCATCCAAATAATTTTTTTCTTATATTTGATTCTTGATTCTGTACCAAAGTATTCAAATAAATTGAGAGTTTCAGTGGCCTTGCTTTTTAAATTGGGAACAGCCACACTAACTTTGTAGGTGTCATATTATTTTGTATGAGTTACTTTCCATCAGGGATTTGTTTCTGTCTTGTCTATATGTCTATAAAATCAATATATCTTGCTGAAGTTCCTCTGCTACATCTTTATTCAAGTTAATCTCGTGGGAGATGTCTAGTCAATTGAGCAAGCTGATTGGTTAAAAATATCTTGATAGTAAAAGATAAGCATGTACTAATAAGATGAGGAGCTCATGCCCATCATCAATGGTATTTCTAGTGATTGCATTTAAATTGTGTAATTCACCTGTACATTTATAGCTGTACTTCCACTTCTCTTTCATTGTTTAGCTTGAGTATATAGGTACCCTTTTTATTTTCACAAAAAGAAAAATAAGTAAAAATCCAAGAGAACACCGATTTTGTTTACAGTTTAGTAAAATTGTTTTATTTCAACAAAGCTGGCATTTAAGAAGAGGGATCATTTCTCCCATTCAGATAACATTTCTTTCTTGAAACCATTGTGGGAAATTATATATAGAATTAAGTCATTTGACAAAGATATGAAAGAAAAGAAATTCCTGTGAACTGTCTCTTAAGTTTAGTTCCCTAATTATGCTTATAACGTTTATTGTCATGCCTCCATTTACTACCTCCAACGTCAATAGAATACTTAAATGAATGTTTTCCTATTTTTATATGGACATCACATATATCATGAAGCCGAGGCAATAGTCACCAATGCATGTTAATACGTAGGAGAGAATGGCATGTGTGTATGTGCATGGGATTCTTGTGTTTTTCGTTTCACAGCATGAGGTCACGTTCTTGAGATAACTTACACGCTGATGACTGATACCTAATGAAAGCCACGTGACCAGTCGCAGGGTACACTGACACGTGTTTTGTGCATGTCAACAGCCTTGGTGTCAGTTATGACGGGAACGTGGGGACATGGCGGCAGGAGTGAAATCCCTAACAAATGAAAGCAATTCATTCACCTAAATTTAACTGGGAGCCTAGAAGACTTAAAAAGCACTCTCAGAAAGCATTAAGTCTCGGGTAGACAGAAACAGGGCAAGTCTATAGACTGTGCCTGGGGGAGAAGGAGCTGGTTTGGAGAACAGAGGGCCTATTGGGGGCCTATTTTGGACATAGAGAGTCGAGGAAGGCCTCTGTGTGTCCCAAGAGACTTATGCAGGCTGTGGAGGCTGATTTGGAAAGTGTCCATACTAAACACAAGACCCAGGTGACTTTCCCAGCCTGAGGCGGCAGACGATAGTAGATACTTATGCAGCAGGTAATAGGGTTGGAAGAAGGAGAATACTGGGCCCAAGGGTAGTAACTCAGGTTGTTGGTTGGATCAGGCATGAAACCAAGTTATGAATTGAATGGGTCTTGAAGTGAAAGTGGACATTGCAAATAGTGAAGGACTGTTTATTGGGCTACTAGAAAGTCAGGGTCGGAATAGGACGACGGAAAGAGAGGAGAGGGGCTGAGCCAGCGAGTTCCGGCTCCCATGGCTTCTAGTCTCCCTCACCTTCACCTGTACTGAACCTCCGGACAGTGGATCAATCCTGGTGCCTGGGTGTTGTTGAGACTCTAGAGAGTAAGGGTTGGAGAGAGGTGAGATTCAACGTCAAATGATTGTTCGATTCCTCGCCTTTTGTGAAGCTGTTTTCTCTTTTAAGAATGATAAAATGACTTTTTTCCAGACTTCTTCCTCTTGAATTGAAAAATGCATCAGTTCCTTTCTACAGATTTTATTAGCACAGAAAATAAGACTAATTTGAGGTTCAAATTATTTAATAGATCCTTGCTTTATACTTCTGTTTTCTCTAAAGTCAA